CGTCCTCGCCTCGTTCGCAACCTACGCAGCCATTGAGCCCGACACGGGGGCGAGTACGGACCGGTCCGGACGACGAAACACATTCCAGCCTTTTTCTCGCCGGCCCAACGACACCGCCGGGCACGCCGCTTGCCCTCCTCCTCTTCCTCCGGCCCTCTCCCTCCGGGGAGGGCGGGTGCGGGAGAGGGGGGAGAGGTTTTAACTGTGTTTCCAAACACAGCGCATAAAGGGCAGTTTTGTCTCGCAAAGGCGGCGAATAAAAGTTGGCGCCTATACGGTAACTAAACTTTTCCAACCCACACCCACAAAACGACATTCTTGATTTAAGAATAATATACTAATGTTTGTTTAGGTGGATTGCTTCCTATAATACGAACCGAGTATGTATACTATTCTTTAGTATGTTACATACTAAAGTTAAGTATGTTTGGTTAATATGTAACATACTAATCTTTAGTGCGTTAGCCCCCTAATCTAAGAAAAGAAGAATACCGACTCGGCCAGCGTCATCAGATAATTAGACGTTTGTGTAAACTAAAAGAAACAAGTAGGCCCGCCCTTCCGCCAAACGGAGTTGCCAGCTCCGCTTCACTGCGCCGGCAACTCCGTTCGGCAGGGGCCGAGCCTGCTTGGCCTGCCGGCGGCGACGCTCGGGCCTGCGGCCCGACCGTTTTTCCTAAATTTGCTGAAAAACATAATCAAATAATATAGCGGGCCTTCGGCCCGCTAAAACCCGTCGTCATTAAATTTTGCCTCTTAGACGCATGAGAAAGGAATGTAACGGTGACGCACCGTGACTACAACCCACCCTTCTGCCTAGAAAAACTTCTTTTTTAAGGCGGGGGCTTCCTGTACAACTATATGTTAACTACAGCAATTTCCCTGATGAGCCGACGGACAGCTCACGCGGACAGCGGCTACGGACTACATGAGGACAATTTGAGGACATGTGCACTGGTATGTCCATGAGTTGTCCGTGGCCCCAGTCCGTGGATGGAAACGTCCGTGGACTTGTCCGCAGCTGCCCGCAGTCCGAGATCCTATCCGTGGCTCTGTCCGCCATAGTCCGCAAACCTGTCCACGATGATTGTCCGTGTAGCTGTAGCTGTCCAGGATGGTTAAAGGAAATTTCGACGGTTTTGCTGGCCGTGATCGTGTCCGTGGCACTGTCCGCAGACATCTGAGATCCTATCCGTGGCTCTGTCCGCAATGGTCCGAGAGACTATTTGTGGCACTGTCCGCAATTCAGTCCACGAGGTTTGTCCGTGTTACAGTCCCGAGCTGTCCGGGATGTTTGAACGAAATTCCACAGAAATCTGTTGCGTTCAGAAAGGTAGCATTGAGTGACCGTGTTGACATCACGATCTTCGGTTCAAAAATTGCCGCCCTCCCGCCCTCTGGTGGCGATGGAGGACTCCAGGCGAACCGGACAGAGGGCGGGCGGGCTGATGGACTTAGTGTGAAGAGGTTGGATATGACCACCGCGAGTTGGTGTAATATGTCATATGACAAACAATTTAAGGGTTGACTAGATAAAGGACAAGTGTGAACAGCCTAAGTACCCCTTTCTCCACCCACAGATTACACAAATGAACTAGTTAAAAAGACTCATTCACGTACAAATGACTTATTTTAAACTTTGATATGTCAACATTCTGAAGCGCCATCTAGTGTTCGGGTGGTTGAACTCATCTCAGTCCGCAAGTGTCCACAAGTGTCCGGGGGTATACTATGACGGTATGCAACAGCTCGGTACGTAAAATTACATACGAGTCGATGGACAACTCGTGGACATGTCGGCGGACATGGCACGAACGTCATGATGTGCAAGGCATTGGACATGTCGATGGACAACTAGCGGACAGTCCTACGGACCAGTCCTGTGGAACGGTCCATAGACATTTGGTGGTCATAGGTAACGGACAGATCTATGGACAGACGAGCCGTGGTGGACAGCTGCGGACACATGCCATGGACGTTTCAAACGACGGACTGTAGTTATGAATGCAGACTGAACCGAGGACAGGTCATGGACTGGTCCTCGGACAGACTGATGGACACAATAGACACGGTGGACAGTTGGGGACTGCACAAGGACAGCCACGGACAGTTGGGGACTGCACAAGGACAGCCACGGACATATGCGGACCATTCCACGGACTGTCCATCGGCTCATCAGGGTTTTAGCTTATTTTAATCAAAAAAGACCCTCCAGCGCCCAAACGGTAAGAGATAGAGCCAAACGGACAAAATTTTAGGGCGTAGGGTTCTACTTTCACGAGTTACCCCGTAGGAGATCATAAAAAAATATTTTTTTTAACTTTATTGACCTACCCTCTTTTCTTTGATACCCCGTTTCAGCCCCTTAGGGTTGGTTGCCAGGATTTGCCGTAGGCGTTTCGTTTTCTAGGAGTGAACCTTAAGATACCCTGAAAATTTGAAGTCTCTAGCACATCTCCTAGTGGAACAGACAGACAGACAAACACGAGGTCGTTTGCATACGCCCGCTGGATAGCTTTTTCAAAGCAGAAGGGCGGGCTAAAAACGAGTTTCTAGTGTATTCCGTAAATGTCCCGTACGGAGCAAAGCGAAATGGATCAGCGACCCGCTTCTTCATCGGTACAAAAATGATGCAGCGCGTAGGACACATTTTTTTTTCTTCAAACCGGAACCTCTCGACCTTCTCCTTGGGGATCATTAGGCCTTTTAGGGTGTTAAGTTTTGTTAAGCGTAGGACACACTACAAGCATAGGAGAAACGTTGCCGCACCCAACTAACGAGAGTTGGCGGGGACTCTGCGCGCGTTGATACTACACCAATTATTTCTGGAGCATGGTTGACTTTTTCAACAAAAACTTGCATGTTACCTAAAAGTAATTGTCTTATAGAGCATACACCGTAAAATTAATTTTAGTTTCATGTCAAAATTTTAGTTCAATGCAAAATATGGTGTTTGTAAGAGACGCTCTGACCGTGACGCCATCTAGCGGCGGTGCCTAGCGGCCCACAAGATTGTTGCATTAGTAAGTTAATACTCTGAACATTAGTATGTGAGTGAAGAATTTTGGAATAGTTTGTTCATCCTCTAAACATTAGTATGTTCTTTAGAGTTTCTAATTAGAGTATCATACGTATTAGTATGTTAACATAATAATAGCTAGAATGTCGTTTTCTGGGTGCACGGCGGCAAGGGCAAGAGTTTCCATCACAGAGGTAAGATTTTTCACGCCAGTGCGGGGTGCAGCGCATTGGGAACTTGTGTCACGCCGAGGCGGTGAATAGCGGTTGCCGCCAGCACGGCGAGAAAAGTCTCCTTTGAGCGAGGGTAAGAATTCTTCCCTCAACACGGGAGACATAACGGTTCTTCACCCTGGGCAGGGTGGCAAATCGTTTCTTGCCTTGCGTGAGGTGATTGTCGAAAATTGTCGACCTCAGCAGGGTAACATCTGCGGAAAAGTTACCTATCGGTTTTACAGTGTATGGAGCCTGGAGGGGGGGGGGGAGTCGCAGAGATGACGTGACCGAGGGCCCGGCGGGTTCCAACCCGTTTTTGAGGTCTGTGAAATGTCTCATACCTGGCTGGAGCGCACGTGCAGTCCGACCCAGCAGACGATCAGGACCCACCGGTGCAAACACGGAGAATAAAGGGAATGAGGGTCGGCTATGCATAGGAAACAGTCAGCAAAAACCGGCGACGGTTGGAGTTTCTCAGCGCGGCCACCTAGGTGGCGCGTCACTCGATTAGCGTTCACTTCTCGGCGGCCGCTCCACGGCGCCTTATGGGCGAGAGCGTACGCTCAGCCAGTTCCCCGGTCCTAGCTCTCATTCTGTCAAGTTAAGGCGGTGGGGGTATGGGAGCTAATTTGGAGCCCAAAGTTCAAACTTTCCAACGCTGCAATTGTCAAGCCGATACAACCCATACAGACAGATAGGGAGAGAAAATATCGTGGATGACAGCGGCGATCGATAACATGGGTAAAAACTGTTTAAAAACCGTTAGACCTAGGCACCTAGTATAAGCGACGCGTTTTTAGAGGTTTCAAAGAACACATCGCTGAAATCGTTTTTTCGGATATGTCACATAAAGTGCTGCGAATTCACTTCAGTACAATGTGTCCAGATGTGCTGCATCCCCCCCCCCCCTTTCGTTCGGGTTGTATGAGACTTACCCGAAAACAAATTATAGTGACGTAGCTATTCTTTAAACCCTGATCTGCAAACGCTTCGCTTACACCAAGCGTCTAAGTTAACGGTTTCGGGGCGCGGCCGCGTGCAAGGTACGAATGTTCACCGTGCGCCCATGCTGGCGCTGGCCTGTGAGCGGGTCAGACCCGGGCGGCACGCTCCGGTCACCGTTGTTGGCTACGTTATTTTCTCCCCCGTTCGGGCTGTATGGGTCGTATCGGCTTGACAACTGCAGCGTTGGAAAGTTTGAACTTTGGGCTACAAATTAAATCCCCCCACCGTCTAAACATGATAGAATAAGAGCTAGGACCGTGGAACTGGCCGAGCGTACCCTCTCGCCCACAAGGCACCGTAGAGCGGTGGCCGCGCGGAGAATCACCAACCGCCGCACAGTGGTCGCCGATTTGCCGCCGGTTTTTGCTGACCACTCTGAGGCGGAACGCGGGCCAAGCCGACCCTCCATTCTCTTTATTCTCCGTGGGTGTAAAGCTTGGCAGGTATGAGGCATTGTCGGGCATTGTGCTGAACCCCGCCAAAACACATTGGAAACAAACCAAGCAGGGCGCAGCCAGCATGTCACGTGATCTCTTTGACTAACCCCCCTCCCCGCACGAGGTGGGCGGCGGCGGCAGAAGAAAGGGGGGGGGGGGGGGGGCGGCAGAGGCCGCAGAACTCGCAGCGCAGCAGCGGCAATGTGCCGCAGCACCACGCCACGCCACCGCTGCGCTCAAGACAGTGCGCATTGGTTTTTGTCTCCTGATGGAGGCGACTGTCTATTCCGTAGCCCTTGTCGGTTTATTTTATGTTTTAGATGGCAGTGAGTCGAAAACTACAGACGTGGCGACAGTTCATAGCCCCCCAGGCACCACTAAGTGCCAGCGAAAGATGGTATCACTGTTTTTACGGCAGTATTGTGAGTACTCAACGACCAGTGATCATTGTTAACAGGAAAAGGGAATTTGAGGGCGATAAACGAAAATGGTTGTCGCTATTATAATTATCTGGATCGTCAAGTGTGGGGGACGTTTCCCCATATCCATTTCACCCAAAACAATTTCTACCCTAACCAGTTCGACCCCATCATTTCCCCCCAATGCACTTCATCCAATGACTTTTTGACTTAGACTTTGACTTAGAAAGTCAATTGGTTGTGTAAACTGTCGACACTTCCGAAACGTATAGTAGCTGCACACCGTATGGTTCGTATAGACAGCAAAGAACTGTCTGTCCAAGTATGTGCAGAATTTTAACTTTCACAAATTATCTAAAATTTGAACACCACGCAAGTGTGCAACTTTTGTTGCGCCCCCATTATTCTATCGACTATGCTACATTCATGTGCAATAATTTCGGCCCAGGGCCCTAATTTTGGATAAAACACGTAGAAATGCTTAAATTAACATATCTCAGCCAATTGTTGTGATTTTCAACATCCGAAAACAGCATTGGAAAGGCAAGATCCTACAGTACTGGGATACATCTCTTTACTGTTGGTACCTCTTTAACCGTCTTTAACAGTAACGCCAACAGAGCTTTAAAAATAAAATTTGCGAAAAGGAAATCGCGTAGTTTTTAAGAAGGCTCTGCGGAACTCCGGGACTTTAGAGCTGACCGTTTCACACATTAATCTATAACAGCCCTTCGCCGACAAAATTACGTTTTAAAATTTTTCATCTGTCAAACCTTTCCCTTTTTATGGGCTACTTTGTGACTGTCGGAAATTGGATCACTTTCATATTCAACTCGCCCCGAGGCCAACTCGCCCCGATTTTGGGGCGAGTTCCGGATGCAAGGTTTCGTCAACTCGCCCCAATCGGCCAAATTTGCAAAATCTCGCCCCATGGGTACAGTTAACCGAAACATCGCCTCAGAGGTCCGATTGCCGAGGCCAGTCGCAAGTCGCGGCGGGAAGCTGAATTTTCAAACTTCCATCACATGGGTACAATTTTTTTTTTATTTCGTGGAATCCGTAGTGTCTTTGCGATGTCTCTACGGTGGCTCCGAGACGTCTTCGCAGTTGTCCTTGGGCGTCTGCTGGGTCCCTCCCTCCTGGGTGTCTCCCGGTTGCCTCCCGGGTGTCTTCCGGTTGCCTTGGCAGTAGCTCCCTACCGTCTCGGGTGTGGCCCCTGGCTGGCTTCGCATCGGCTTCTGGATGTCTAAATCCGACTCTTAATAGGGTGTTCCAGGCTATATAGAACGGAAGTGAAAAAGAACAAACTCACCGATTAATCTGTTTCCGTCCGCTCAGTATGAGAAATTGTCATGGTAGTTTGGTCCGATTCTAACCTCTCAAATATGGAGGCGAGCTCGAAACTGACCTGACGGTTTTTCATACCTGAAACGCCGTCGTGACACGTGATCAGCTCAACTAATCAGAGCCATCACGGAAACAGAAAAGTCAGTGACTTCGTTCTTTTCCTACTTCCGTTTTGGATAGCCTGGAATACCCTATTAGACACTTATTAGACATCCTCGGTGGCTCGAGCGCGTATTGGACGTGTCTCTAGCGGAGTCTTCGCTCTGCCTGTGCACTGTCTGTTGTCTATTTCTGAGACATTCTAGAGACACTCTGAAGCCGATTTTTTTGTACGGGTTGAAGTTCTGTTTCGTGCCCCACGGCTTGTAAATTCAAGTTGTTGGTTAGAGAACGCACCTAATCCCATAAAGACCACATTGAGGTACTAAGTGAAAGTGGTCCGAGTGTGAGGTCACGCAGACATAAAAAGACTTTGCTGTGGGGATCAACTTTGGTCGATAGGCAAAGTTCGATAGCAGAAATCGAGAATCCGATGCCCACAGCCAGGAGCTGGTTGTCAAGACCGGACACTTGTACGAGAGAGAACTAAGCTGGGGTTAATTGGTTTGACGACCAAAGTTGATCCCCACAACAAACTCTTTTTTTTTTTTCGTGTGACATCCATATCACGAGGGCGCGGGG